AAACTGCTACAAGATTTAGCACAGGTACTCCATAAACACACTTTTAAGCACCACTTTGGTCCCTATCTATATATAATACAACCTATGTATGATTTTAGTTCAAAGCCAAAGGCTCATGATTTACCATACAGTTTATTGGGCTGGGCCCCAGCCAAGTCAACAGGACTTCAAGCCATGGTGACCCCGCAGCTCAGCATTGCTCAGCATGTGTGTGTATTCCAGATACCCTTCACAAAGGATCCATGTGTTAATTGGCGCCTGACTCATGACTGGAACCAGGTGTTCTTGTCATGAGTCCTGGTATCATCCAAAAATCTATATGCAGATGAGGCATAGGGCAGCCTGCTCTGGTTCAACCTCATGGAGGATGGGACCACACTAATCATGTGCAACAAGCTGTGAGAAGCCCTGTTTTGGGCCCTGTTTGGTGAAGTTTTCCAGACATTTAAGGCTGGTGAAGAAATAGAGATCAGAAAGAAAGGCAGAGTTCAGCTGCAGGAGTGAAGAGGAAGTAAAAATTAGTTCAGTGTAGTGGCTTACCATGATTTAAAAAAAAGTCTGCACTGAGGCGGACTTCATGCAATGGGCACTACGATATATCTTATTCAGATGTGCTGCAGTAACCTTTACCTGTAGCAGGTTCATAATAGCATTGAAACAGATTTATGCCTTAAAGGCAGAAAAAGGGATCAACAGAGCATCAGGGTGTAACGAATGGAGGAGGGAGACTTAAAGCTTAAAACAATGGCAGTGGTAAGCATGACTTGATGGCATGGTAAGTCACTATTGACTCCAAGATGAACATGGGCCGACAATGCGAGGTCATGGTTGGCAGGGCTAACCGGACCTTATCGTGCATCCACAGGTGCATCTCGAGTAGAGCCAAGGAGGTGATCCTCCCCCTCTATGCGACACTGGTCAGGCCACAGCTGGAGTATTGTGTCCAGTTCTGTGCGCCCCATTTCAAGAGGGATGTGGACAACATGGAGAGGGTCCAGAGGAGGGCCACCCGCATGATCCGGGGACAACAGGGCAGACCCTACAGTGAGAGACTGCGGGACCTGAACCTATTCAGCCTCCACAAGAGAAGGCTGAGGGGGGACCTGGTGACCGTCTATAAACTCACTAGGGGGGACCAGAAGGGTTTGGGGGAGACGCTGTTTCCCCTAGCGCCCGCTGGCATAACAAGGAGTAATGGGCACAAGTTGATGGAGAGGAGGTATAGATTGGACATCCGCAAAAACTACTTCACAGTTAGGGCGGCTAGGAGCTGGAACCAACTTCCAAGGGAAGTGGTGCTGGCCCCTACCCTGGGGGTCTTTAAGAAGAGGCTGGATGCCTACCTGGCTGGACTCATTTGAGTCCCGTTTCTTGTTTTGGGGTTTTGTTGTTCTCCCGCCCTGGCGGGGGGTCGGGCTAGAAGATCTACTAGGTCCCTTCCGACCCTAAATCTATGAAACTATGAAACTATGAGAGAAGCATGAAGTGGAAAAAGTTGAAGAGTGGAAATGAAGATCTGGAGACAGATGGAGAGTGGACAAAGTTGGAGATGAAAGGCAAAAAGATGACAGCAGGAGCAGTGGTGGAGGCAGCAATGATGAAAGAGGTGATGCCAAAAGGCAGAAAGGAGCAGAGGAGAGTGAAAGACAGAGCTGGAGAAGGTACATCAGGTGAGAAGCAGAGGATCGTGGGAACACAACAGCAGGCCAGCGTACCAGAAGTGGCACACTGGAAAAACATAGAAGAGGCACCAAGAGAAGCCAGAGGAACAGAAGCTGCAGATAAAAGCAACTTTAACTGGTGACAGGAGGCAGATGGGATTGATGATGGACAAATATGATTTCCTGGAAACGGTATGGTTTGAGATTTTTTGGAGGTGTAGGCAGAGCATCTCACCAGCCAGACTGCTTTATCAAACCAAAAGACTTGGGAATTAACTTATTGGGGACGGAAAAGAGTATGAGAACTTTTGGAAGAAATATGTAGAGAATTGTGGGAGGGAGGAATTAAGTAGAATAGATTTAGTTCATAGCAGGGGAAAAGTCAAGAGAAAGAGTGGTTATAATTTGAATGTACATGGATTTAATAGGACCAGAAGACATAGAAAGATGGATGGAAAAGTATGTCCAAATGATTACGTCATTAGAGAAAGTAAGGGACAAATATGGCATCTGGATGGGGACTTGGAGGGCATGAATAGTGTTATAAGCAGATGAGTGGAGCCCAGGTGGGGTGCTGCACCTCCTGTCAGTGATCCAGATTGGGGTGCGCTGGAGTTTTATAGTGTACCACAGGCAACTAAAAAGTTGCCGCAGATGCAGAAAAGTGGGGCACCTGTCTGCACACTGTCCTCTTACGGTGTGCTACAGATGTGAAGGAATGGGGCATAAAGCAGCAGAGTACCAGAAGTCCATAAAATGTACTTTGTAGGAGAGTGGGACACTTGTTTTGTAGGTGCCCCAAAGCCTTTGCAAGTATAGGCAGATCCCCTGCGGAACAGCAAAACCTGGAGAAGGAGAGCAGAGGAGGCAAGTTGGACACTGAGATGGAAATAGTGGAAGAAGCTCCGCAGAAGAGTGAAACAGAGAAGGAGGGGTGCAAAATTTCTGTGATTAAGGCAGAACAGGAAGGGATAGGAGATGGTATACATGTGGTGGGTACAGCAAACAGCTCAGATGCGGAGGTGGGGAAGAAAGAATAGATAACAGAAGTGGAAACAGGAAGAGAGAGAACCAGAGAGACAGGCTGGGAAAAGAAAATGCAGGGGCTGAAGATCAGGAAGAAGAAACCTGATAATGGAGGAGGTGAGTGAGAGAGAGAGCCAGAGACCAGTTTTCTGCCACTAATGCCTCTGGGTTCCAGCCTGGAGTGGAGATCAGAAGATGGAAAATGGTGCAGAGGTGGAAATATGCAAGATTTCCTAAATGCAAAAATGATCTCTCAGCTTGCAAAGGCTACAGGAAGGGGAGGGAGGGAAGAGAGGTCAACCACCCTGAACAGTAGCACAGATGGAACAGGTGCACTTGTTTTAAAACAATATCTTGCTGGTGAGAGAAGTGCAACACAGATGGGGCTTGACAAGCTCATCAAGGTGTCAAAGAGATACAGAGAAGAAGAAACAGTAGGATGTGTTTTGGGAGTGTACATATGCAAAGGGGGTGTGGGAAAGAGTCCACTGCTGTCTGAGTGTCACCAAAATAAACTTGTCATTAGAGATGGTGGGAGATGGACTCATACCAAAGGGACTGGAGGAAATGTTATTGAGGACTTTATTAGTGTGTGCTAAAACTAATTTATGGAAAGTAAGAAAGCTCTGGGTGTTTAAAGGGTTGGCTTTTACTGAAAGAGTGACTGAAGTGGCTGCATGAACTGAAATACTACATCTGTTGGAACAAGGAAGAGATTGGAGGGGAAGAGGCAGAGAAGAAGTGGAGAAAAAAGGACTGGACATGCTTGTTTCACTAAACCAATAAACAGGACCAGTGGGAGGGATGGAGAGTTTCAGGTGCTTACTGAGGTAACAGTTTTTTCATGAGGTTCTGTATGAAGAGAGAGATTTTTGTAAAGGTTTGTGGGGGTGGTTTTCTGTGGGAAGTTGATGTATGTTGTTTAAGGGTTTAATCTATGTAAGCTGTTTCTGTTCCGTGAAGTCTTGGTTTAAAAAAAAAAAAAAGGATGTTCAATATATGTAATATATGTAGCTTTGTAAGTGTAGGGTGATAAGCAGGGATCCTGGAGTTCTCCGATTAAAACAACAACAACCAAAATGATCTGATTAAAACCCCCCAAATTCATGTTTTTCCATTATTAAAATGAAGGACCACTATATATATCTACAGATATCTATAGGTATCTATAGATATAGATATCAGTTGAACACAATATTTATTGAGATATTTGCAATTTTAAAGCAACTTGCAAGCCTACCAGTGCCTCAATCACCATAATAAAATAAATTCAAAGTACCTGTAAATGTTAGTATTTGATTTTGGGGGGTTTTTATTATGGAAAATCAGTTTCCCCCTGCCCTCTTTGCTCACCAGGACACAGGTCCAGGCTCCTCACTCCTAGCCACAGCCTCACTCCCAATCCCCTGCGATTTTCCACAGGAAACTTAAAAAACAGATCCCTGGTGATAAGTGTGTGGTTTAATAAAATTTATATGAATGAATGAATAAATAAATAAATAAATAAAAAGTGTCCCATCAGTATGTTTGCCCCATATGAACCATGTGTGTTATAGTTATGCTTAGTGTTGGCTGCATTTAGTCACCTTCACAATTAGTTTCCATTAATGAGTATATGCTGCTTTTGGCAGCAGTTTCATGATAGACGGTGTATTTAATAAGGCTTCCTTGTATACAGTTATAAGATAAAGGCTTTTTTTCCCCATGCTGATTGTGGGAGGTGGGGAAATAGTTTTATATTTGAGTATATACAATAGCTTCTCTAAGGGTAGAGATCATTATTCACTTTACTTCCATCTCTTCTTTTCCCCACCAAAAATAATTTAAAAGTGGGAATGGAGGAAGGAAGAAAATATCATTTTATTACTTTAGGTCCCTGTTTGTGCAATAAAGTATCTCCACCCGATGAGCATAAAGCTGCTGCTGCCTATTGTTGAAGGCTGTTTTCCACTAGAGAAGTTTCTGATGGATGGTTATTATATTGAAATGCTGATTCTTAGCAGAACATTTGCTGTAACTAGTTTTGCTTTTGTATTTTTTGAAAATAAGAGAAGGAAAAGCTCAGCAATCAAAATTGACTGTCTTGCTAAAGCTAATGTGTGTGCACTGCTACTAGATGCATAGAAATGTTCACTGGCAGCAGTGCAATGTGCTGCCAGTCTCTCTATTGTCAAAAGAAATGATCTCATAAAGCAGTGTTTCTCAGCCTGTGGGTTGTGACCCAAAAGTGGGTCACAAGAATTTATAAAAGGGTCATGAAGAAACTTAAAAAATGGACCAATAAACTTAAAAAATGGACTCTCCTTTAAAGAAGAAAAACGTGGGAAACTCACTTTTCCCTTCCAGGCTGACAGGGTTACAATCTGCAAGGGGCTGCTGGGGTCCTCCCACCCCACACACCCAGCCCCTGCCCCACACACTGAAGGGCTGGGACCTGGGAGTGGGGACAGTGGGTCAGGAGTGAAGGGCACGGGGTCCTGGTACAAAAAAGGTTGAGAATCACTGTCATAAAGTATTTCTGGGAGCAAAAGTGCTTGTTCTTTATATAGTAACAACTGCTGCTGCTTTTAGGATCCCTTAAGAAAAAGGCCCAATCCTCTTCCCGTCTCTGTACCTTATTTGAGTCCTCTGGTGCTGCGTAAAGAGCTTGAATCCTTGTTGGAGAATGAGGGGGAACAAGTGATACATACATCCACATTCATCAACCAGCACCCCATCATTTTCTGGAACTTGGTTTGGTATTTCCGGCGCTTGGATCTACCTAGCAACTTGCCTGGGCTCATTTTAACCTCAGAACATTGTAACGAGGGAGTGCAGGTAAGTGTCTTCCGAGCAGTTGGTAATATGCAGATGTTGCAGCATGTTGAATAAGTTTTATTTTTGCTCATAGAAAAGGTCAACAAATCCTTGGTTGGCAGCATTTAATAAAAATCTGGCCTGAATAACAAATTGTAGGTTTTTGCTTCTAATACTAGGAAATACATTACTGTCTTTTGTACGAATGATCATGAGTGAGAGTGCAACCAACACCTGAATGCTGAGCAGGTTATTTTCTAGCTCTAAAAGGTATTTTGAATAAACATTTGGAAGCAAGTGAATGAGGTTTTCCTAGAGGACTGCTGGAAGGGGGCAGAAAGAATTTAGGGAGATTTCTAGTGATTCATGAACGGGATCTCTAACATACAGCAGGGTGAATTCGCTACCTGGCTATGAAATCTGGGATGGATTCTCTTCTTCAGTGTACTAGGTTTATATCAGCATATCTCCCTTTGAGTTGTGTCAGTATAAAAATGGGGTTAAACAATAGAGAATTGGCTATATTTGGGGAATTGACTTTAAGGGCTAGATCTTTTTTTTTTGGTAAGGTTTACATCAGATTTGTGGGATATGCCAGATATATAGACCAGATGTCACCAGGCATTCTTGCATGATGTATGTGACGAGTTGGTATTTCCACATCTTTTGTTTGTATACACCTACCTTTGAAATTCTGTCCATAACTTTTCAAGAGCAAAGTGCATGTTTACCAAGAAAAAAGAATAGTTTACCAAGAGACGTGGCTAAATTGACATCACCTGAAAAATTTTTAAAGCTGCATAGTGGAGGGTGAGACACAGTACAGTCAGTGCCATAGCTAGGGATGGGCTAACATTTTTCCTCTTCTTTCCCTTACCTTCTGATTTATATAGCAAGGGCACTGTTTCTAGCTTGTGAATCCACTATGAGAGCTGAGCTGTAATTGAGATTTGTCATTGATATTCACACTCGGCAGGTTTGCTACTGTGATTTTTGACTTTTCCGTAAATGAGCAGCTGCCTTTCCTACTTGTTTAACTAATACGTATTTAAGTCAAAATGCTCCCCCTACCTAAAATCTGGAAATCAACAGAAAGCTATGCTGCAGTCTTTTCCAGCAAGACCATCATCTGCTAAAGATAGTTGGGGTGTTTCAGGGAAACTCTGACATCTTATGCTGTTTGGGGCATTGCCATCTTTCTGTTCACTGTACAGTGCATACCATATTGAGGCCTTGGGGTGACTGAGGCTGCCAGGAAATACTGAAGTACAAACAACAATGATACCGTTAAATAGATATTGTTGTCAGCAGTTCCTTAATAGGAGGATGATTGTATAGTGATATAACTCCTATATAGATATTTTTTCCAGGCTAAGGCTGGGTTTTCCTCAATTTAATCTTGCATTCCTTGGAAAAGAATTTAAAAGAGCCCCTTCTGATACCTCAATTCAGATTTTGCTCCCACAAAAAAAAGTCGAAAACAACTCTGTAACAGAACCTGTCCATTTTATTAGACTCAAAATGAATAGTGCAAAGATTTTATCTGCAGCACGCAAAAATTAGCAGTCCTTGGGCTGTTAATTTTTTAAAACATTACTTTCTTCTCATTCTAGCTTCCTCTGTCATCTCTGTCACAAGACAGCAAGTTAGTGTACATCCAGCTACTGTGGGACAACATCAATCTCTATCAGGAGCCAGGCGAGCCTCTGTATATATCCTGGAGAAATTTGAGTAAGTGAAATGCATGCTAGAGGGAACAGGGCTTGCAAAGGGGAAGGAGTCATTGACTTGTTTTATTTTTCTGCCTCTGAAGTTGCTGTACCTCTTAGGAACAATTTTTCCCATGTTTAGAAAGCGTGTGAAAATCTCTGTGGGAAAACATTTGTTGTTGTATTTTGTATACAAATTACAGTATTCTCTGTGTAGATTTTTTTGCTTCTAAACTGGGAAGGGATTTGATCCTATTGTACCCTGTACATAGATTTTGGTATCTGATCTTTCTTGTTATGTTACAGTCCTTATTAGGTAGCCAGGAAAGGGAAGAACTGATGCAAAGAAGATTCTTTCTAAAATAAGTTCCTTTCTTTTCTTAAAAAAAGCTGTCACATTTCTGTAGCTGCCTTTTACCACTTGTAGCTGTACCACCATATGCTAGCAGCTTCAGTTCACCTGGCTTGAATTCTGGGAGGAATTTGAAACATTCGTGGTGGATATTTTACTTCTTTCTTCCCTCAGAACCAATTGTAGTTTTTAAGTATTAAAAGCAGCCTAACCCAGGTGAGAGCTGGGTGTAGAGCAAAAAGAAACCTAAACACATTCTTGTAGGATTTAAGCTGCTTGTAGGAATTTGTTAGGAAACTGTGTAACACATGATGGAAGAAAAGTCAGCCCCTGGGAGTAGCTTAAATCTAAGCAGACAGGTTGAATAGAAAAAGGCAAAGGGAAGGTCAGAGAATGGTGCCAGTGTAACATGTTTTGCCTTTCAAAAGAGCTTATTCATGTGCATTGTCTGCAGGGTGCTAATTTATAGACACCAACACACATTCTGGAATATAAATGAGGGAGTAAAGCTTGTTACAATGTGCTGAAAAATAGTTAAATTTATATCACTGACCAAACCTGCAGTAGGTTCAGAAAATATCTGTTAAACCTGTTGACAAGCTGTAGTGAATGGTGAGGGCTGGTTTTGTTTTGTTTTTTGTTTTGTTTCTGTCAAATTAATTAGCAACTACTGGGTCTGAATTGACTTTCATTAACAAAAAAAGCACTTCCTTGCCCTTTACTACATAGCTTTGACATGCCTTGATTCTGCCTGCAGCAGAACTTGTTGGCTTCTCCTGGATGTTCTGGTTTTCATTCAATGACCTTTTTCAACTCAGTCACTCCAAAACCAACAGTGCAGCAGAACATCCTGTAAGTGATGCTCAGCTGGCTTTTGCTCCAACTTCATGACACCTGCTCTGTGGTTATACTTTATACAGTGGTTATAAGTTACCTTCACAAATTATTCCCAAAAAAATGTAAATGCATTTCCTTTTCTCCTTGCCGCTTAATTTTTTTTTCTTCCTTTCTGTGTTGCTTCCAAAGATGGAGGCATAGCATAAATGTTACCAATTTTAGTTTCTTAATTTTTTTGCATCACTTCAAGCCTATGAACTAATGCTATTTGGCTGAAATATGGTGGCCTTCAGCCAGTTGCATTGCTTACATGGGACTTGTGTTTTTTAACCAGATATAACACTCTTCTCTTCTATGGTGGCAAACTTTCGAAATCTAAATTTAGTATTAATATATTGCAGCTTGAAAAAACTGCTTTGTTTTATAGAGATATTGTGGCAAGAATATACTTCAATAAGTGAAAACGTTTTTTTTTCTTGTGCTCCTGTGTTATGAAATGCCCAGGGTGTTATGGATGTAGTTTGTGTCCTGCTAATCTTGGTGTGTGGCAAAAATTGTGTAAATAAGCAAACCTACTCTGTTGTAGAAATTTCTGTATAGAAGAGGGTGTAAACGTATACTCTACATGCAAATGTGGGCAAATAGATTTCTCACCCTCACTGCATTTCTCACTAGTGAGAAGAAAAATATTACTAGTTACAAAAGGTCTGAATTGCTGTGTTTTTTTCATCCAGATTCAGCAGAGAAGAAACCATCCACAACTTCAGAAGACCAGCAGGCAATAAGCACTTTGTTAGAGAACATCAAACTAAGTATTCAACACAATAATGTTCTTAAACCAATCAACTTCCTTCTGCAGAAAGTTCAACCAGGTGTCAAACGACAAAGGTACAAGGATTCTGTGTCTCTTCTTCAACCCCCTGCCCAGCTCTACATTAAAATTTACGTAAAATTACACTTAAGGATTTTAAGTAGGGATCTACTTAAAGTGTGTGGAAGTGAAATAAAAATTGCAGGCCATTTGTGGTGCCCAACACCATTTTCATGGTCTTTTTGCAGTGTGCACCTCCCTCCTTTGCCACTGATTGGCTGTTGGGAACTAGCGGCCCTGTCCCTCACTGCTGATTGGCTGAGAGGGCTGTCCGTCATGCTGCCCCGCCCCTTGCCCCTGATTTGCAGAGGAGCAAGGCCACACAAAAGGCAGCCCTCTCCTCAGGAAGGAGAGAGTGGCCACAACCTTGGCTGCTCCCCTTCATGCCCACGGGTTCCCCCACCTCCCTCTCCCCAGTTGGTTGCAAAGCTTGGCCACAGTGGCCACTGGCTCTACTGGGGAGCCAGCATTTTATTTTTAGTAAGTTTTTTTCCAGCAATTCCATACAAGATCTTGGAGAAAATCAGTTTTTGCAGTTTCCGTGAAAATCATAAAATCGCAAAATAAATAGATCCGTAATTAAGGCCTTTATATGGTAGTAGTTTAGAGAACGGTTAGCCCTACCTCAAATTTCCAGGCTTCTTATGCAGACACTGTAATTCTCCTGTTCTGTATCCAGATACTTGGGAGCAATTTTTTGTGAGAGTACTTAAAGGTCTGTATGGATTTGCAAATGCAGTTGTTGCAATGATGTCCAGATTAGAAGGCTAAACATCCGTTAATGCAAAAGTAGATATGTAATATGCAGTGTCTTTGTGCCTCACTGTAAATCTAACAAAGATACACCATGTTCAGTGATATAAATGTATCCAGATTCCACATGGTAGGAAGAAGAAACATGTTGAGCAATTTAATTAAAAATAAAAGCAGACCTCCGGAGAATATCATACATCATGCCTGTCCGGCTTCTAAGGAGTGAAGGGCTGTATGCCCTGCAGTCTGCACCCACTGGAGCTGCACCAGGGTGAGCCATGGGCCCATTGGGCTGCACGCAGCATCAATGTTCAGCCCCTGCGCTGCACATCTGGTCTCACCTTGTGCCACCCTGTGGGGCAGCTGCACGCAGCATGAATGTGCAGCCCCTGCACTGCACATCTGGCCTCACCTTGTGCCACGCTGTGGGGCAGTAGTGGAAACTGGAAAAGGGAGAGCCCAGAGTTGTGGTGAATGATAGGGTGAACTACAGCTATGCAGGAACCTGGGGACCTGCAACTTAACTCTGTGCAGGCCATGGGCAGCCCACGGGCCACCAGTTGAACAGTCCTTTCATACATCTGGCCACCACTATTACATACACAAGTATTGTATTTAAGACTATCATATTCCATGCCGTAGAAATATGATACGACCTTAGTGAATTATAACATCATCATAACAATACCATTACAAGTAACTTGGTCCTTTTTGATTGGCATTTCAAGCACTCATCACCATGGAAAAGGATAGGCAAGTGTCAACCTCAAGATCCATCTTGATCATTTTCTGAATATTGTTCAATTCTAATAAAAGTAATAAAATGTTCTAAAACTAAAATCCTAATTCCAAATATTAATTCATGAATTGGGCCTCAAATTAAAAAAATACATATTAAAAATAAATGCATGGGTTTATTTGCCTTGTAGGTTTTTATAACAATAAGGCCAATTTTCTACCTTTCTTCCGTAACTGACAGCAAAAAATATTTTTAATGGATAAATCTCTTGTTTCTAGAGTTGGGGCTTAAACAAAAATGCTGAAATTTACACAGCTAGCAAAATCATAAGCTACCAGTGCTGGAAAAAAATGTTTACAGTACAAATAAGATTATGCTTACATAAAGCTGCATTATAGAATACAAACATACTTTCAGCACAGTCTTTTTTTTAGACTAGTTTGTACTCTTAACTCATCTTTAAAATATTTTACAGAAGTTTTTACCGAGAAATCCTGTTCCTGTCTTTGGTGTCCCTTGGCAGAGAGAACATCGACATTGGTGAGTTAAAATAATATGGCGCGCACAATTATTCATTTGTACATGCACATTAAAATGAAGAGTTGGGGCATATGAATTGGCTTGCAACTAGTCAGAAAATTAGTTTTATGCCTCGAAGTGTCCATGCAGCTGTTGAATTGGCAAGCATCCTTACTTCAAGTGTAAATAATGAATACTAGCTTCTGTAAGTATGACTCGTGATGCTTGCTTTGCATTTAAAATAATTGTTGGAACTTGCAGAGTGATTTATATGGCAACCCTATTTTTGCAGGAAAAATTAAATTTGCACTTGAACGTTCTATGTAAATGACTTAAATTATGTTCTTTCCATTCCAGAGGCCTTTGACAGTGAGTACAGAATTGCATATAAAGGCCTAGCTTCTGATGTGCTTGAAAAGATGCAGAAAATGGATGCACCTCCAGGCAGCAGGGTGGAGTGGTGCAGAAAATGTTTTGGAGCCCCTCTCATTTAAAAGTAAGGAGAAATACCACAGAACTTTCACAAGACAAAGCAGGGGTGGGACAAAACTGGGAGCATACAAATGTGGATTTCAGTTCCCAAAAGATGATGCAAAACAGCAAGCTGGTGTTAAATCTCTTGCGGCTAACCTTTGCATTTTATTTGTCATCTCATGCAATAGTGTAAAATATTCTAAAATACCTTTGGACCTTGTTTATAGCTAGGGTTATTCCACTCTTCAATCACTGATCTGCCTTTTACTGCTTGTTTGTATGTATGTTTTTCTTCCTTCTCATCCCCTATCTCCAGTTGCATAGAGGGAGGAGATAAATAAGAGCATTTAATTGGTGGCTGCCTTAAGGTCCATCAGTACTAAAATATTTTATTGAAATACCTTTCTAGTGCACCAGCTTAAGTGTGACAGTACTCCTATGGACTGACCATAAGGTAAAGAGAGGGATCTGTTGTATATGTGTTCATTGTGTATGTATTGGAACCCTTGGACTGCAAGTTGCCATACATTTTCCTTAGACAGTGGTCATTATACCAAACAGTTAGTTAGATGCGACTATTTTGATAGATTTCCCTGTCCAGGTCGATCAAAAACATCAGTTGACAGACTTTAACCCTCTGCTTTGACTGCATTTAAAAGCTGTTTAATTTCTCTACTCATAGTGTCCTGCTCTGTGAATTTGGAGATAACTGTGAATATATGACTGTATTCTTCCAAACAGTGATGCGCTGCTTTCCTGAGTGGTTTGGAGAAGGGTGTTTTTCTGTAAGTCAGGGAGGTAACTAAGGGTGGTACCCAAAGGGATTAACAAAATCAAAAATTGTCCAGAAATTAAGCTTTTTAGAGATGTTTCAAAACAAAAAAGTGTCCCTTAGGGTGAATTTGCAGCTTCAGATAACTGCCCCCCTCCTGGGTCTTGATCTCTCTTTTTTTAAACCTGTGGGAAAATTACTTTGCACTGTTACGTCCAAATTCAATATTTTTATTACACATATTAATAAATGTGTTCTTCAAGTTGTGTATGCAGAGAACAATTCAAGAGCTTAAGTGAATGGTATTAAGAGTTAAAACCCTCTTTAGTTTCTTGCTGGTACATGAGAACTTGTTCACCTCCTGTTCCTACTGAATGATAACACTACGCATGCCCTTGGCAACCTGCAGTCAAACACTGATTTGGGATTTTTAATGTGTCCAAGGGTAGATACACGGCAACATTTGTGGTGCTGTTTCTGTTGAAATCATAGGAGAAATTGCATCAGCGCATGTCTATATTTTACCAGTAACTTCACTCATGGGAGAAACAGCAAGGAGAAGGGATTCATGGATTATTAGGAGCATAACTGAAAAAGCACAATCGCACTCTAAGCTTGAATGTATTCTGTTCAGACTGCTGCCTTACTTTACTAGTATCCCACACTCCAGGATTTTGACTTTCAAAAACAATCAGGGCATGAGGATCTTTTTTAAGGTAGCTGAAATCCCTCCTCAAAAACACAGTGCTTTCAACAAGTTGCTGACATGTCCTTCAAGCAATGGTTTTTAAACTATTTGTAGCAAACTTTTTTGCTTTGTAGGCTGGATCTGTTGTTTTTAAAGTAAAAAATGGCTGATCCTTAACTATGTTGGTGGGTTAAGTAGAGATGGAAACATTTCTCCACATTAAAACATATGCATTGTTACTACTTAGAAACAGAGGGGTAAAAAAAAGGAACTTTTTTTTTTTACTTTAGCCTTTGGAGGCTAATTGTTCACAGATGTAGGAACAACAAAACCATGCCACTTGTTAAACGTATGTTCTAATCGTGTTCAATTTTCATTTTTCTTCCCAACAATATAAGACATGTGCAAACAATTCTTTAAACTAAATAAAAATTCCTACAAAGTGCTCTCCCAAGCATTTTTATACTAGCATTATAGTAGTGATTAAACAAATAAGAATAGCAAAGATTGTGCCTTATACTTCAGCACTACCTTTAAAGCCCCCAAAACTAATTTAGCATATTCCACTGGTAACCCTGAATAAGCAACTAAACCATGTGGCTACTTAGAGCAATTTAAATGACAATACATTTTGAGTACACTTATGCTGATCCAGTTCTGTAAACTATACAGGTTAAAACGGTATGCTAAAGACTTTTGAGAGGTAGCAGCTAGATTCCTTTCTATCCTGTAACCATCGGAGATTAGGATCTATCATCGAAGCACCTTTTGTGTAGTGACTCACCTCATCCATTGTTAAAAAAAATTGAATATGACCCTGGACTTCTGTAAATCAGTTTCTCAACCTGTGGTATGCACACCCCTGGGGGTACACGAGACAAGCAGGGGGTATGTGGGTACCCCAACACTCTCACCCTCTTTTCCTCTCTCTCTCCTTCCTCCTCAAACCTATGGCAAAAAAATTTGGCGTGCCACGCATTGCACAGTGCTTTAAATTCCCCAGTAATAATTTGGCATGCCACACTTTGCGCAACACTGGGTTCAGCCCTCCTAGCTTTGGCCAACTTCACCTCTAGCCCAGGTGCATACTTGAGTTGTGCACCCCTGGTGTAAAAGGTGGCAACTCCACCCACACCAGATCAGACATCTGTCATATCACGTCCTTATATACACAGCCCTTCTTCCAACATACAGGACACATTAGTCTGTAAATATTAATTTTCTAAATTTTTTATATTAATCTGCCCTGGGCTGCCTGTCATGCAGCCCTCAATGGCTTGCCAAAACTCAGTGAGTGCCCTCTGCCCAAAATAATTGCCTGCCCCTGAGTTAGGGGGTACTTGCTACTTAAAAGGTTGAGAAACACTGCTGTAAACTGCCAGTAGCATGTTTATTATGGTACTAAATGGCTGTTAAACCCTGAAAAGCTGTTAAACCTTCTTCCCTGGAATGCATAGCAGCCTCCCCCCACCCACCCCTCCAACACATTCAAAGATTGACTTGAAAGGATCCCCTTGATCATTCTTGCACATACCTGAATTCCAGAGAGCTGAAAGTACTATGCAAAGCTAAGTGAATCCATTTAAGTCTACTGAAATGTACCTTCCGATGTAGAATGCAGGATTTTGTTATTGAGGTCCAGTTAACTTCTTGGTTTGTACTAGGTGATTAACTAGCTGACCCTACATTGCATCCTCTGAGAGTGAGGATTATAGAAGCAATTTGCTATAAGGAGCATTTTTTATGGACTAAAGAAAAAAACTGAAAGCACCTTTTGGTGGCTACTTCCTCTTCCAAAAAATGATAGCATCCAATTCCCTCCTCCACTGACTCTGGAGTAATTAGCTACAACTGGCAGGGATTGATGCAAGTTGTATTGGAGAGGATTTTTCAGATATTTGTGCTGACTAAATCTGAATATGTAAAATACCAAGACTGTACTTGGAAAACAGACATGACACACAACTAGCTGCTGCATATTTAATACCCATATGCTTGAAAGTCTGGCCCAGAAGGAAAGAAACCAGCCTTTGAAAACTTTGTGGCTTTTTCTCCTTTCCCAATCCAGGCAATAGCAAAATAATAAATTATTGTCTGCAAATCAATAACTTCTGTGGGCCACAGAGGACTGACTGAAACTGGATTCTTTTTCTCTCCTATTAACTGTTGTTCCAGTGACACGAAATATAGGAGTGAGCTTTACCCAGAAGTCAGAAAGGTAGAATATAAATGGTTATTCCCCAGCTACTTTCTCTCCCTGTTAAAAGTAGAAAAAAGTGGGTATGTTACCTGGGAACCTCTTGTCTAGAGAAGCAAGTCAATTCTAGCTGGTGTGTAAAAACAAACAAAAAACCCAGCCAAGGTTGATATGGAAGTGCTCTGTCTGTACATGTATTTTGGAAACCCAGTTCGTAAGCCATAAAGATGATGGTGGTAGACAGATGTTGCCTGGAAAGCCTACTACAGAGCTGGACAAATAAATCAAAAGTGCTAGAAACAATCACTTTAAGGAAACTGAGGGGGTTTATGGTATTTTGAATGAACTTGTGAAATGTTAAAAGGATTTTTTTAATTAAGACAAATAACAGAGGAACAAACTTCGAATTACTGGCCTGAAAACTTGAACCATCACTGAACTGTGTGGAGAGGATGCATTTTGCCATGTTTTTCTAATTTCTTAAATCCACCAAATATGCCTTGTGTTTCTTTCAGTTTCATAGAAAGTGTAAATAACTTCATAAGGTTTGAGGTTGGGATTTGTTTTTGTGGTGAGTAAGAGAATTCTAGGTCATTACAAAGATGTAATTACTGTAAATGAAAACCCAATGGATTCCAAAAAACTGATGTGCAAAGACTAGGAAACTGAATGAAAAGGCTGTAATTGGGATAGATTCTAGCTGCATACCACAACACTAGAACTCTGGGCATTGCTCATAGCTGGACCCTACTGGGTTTGACTAATGTGGGTTCAGACAGTGACATTTTAATGAGGGAAAACATTTATTTAATAAATACGTGAAACTAAATTATTACATCTTATAAATAAATTAGTCTTCATAGATTTCATGTTTGCTAAATTCTGAATTCACACTGCGCTAACAAATTACTAGGTTTTATTCCATCCTAACCCTTAATATTTTTTCTGTACTGCCTCAGTAGAAAAGAAAATCCAGACCTTAGTTTGAGAGTTCTATTTTCCTACAACTGCCTTCACATTGAGTATATTATTAAAGTATGTATGAATTTGATTATAGAAATTTATATTTTTGTAACAACTATTTAAAAACTTGAATAGATAAATCCAGCTGAAATGTTGAAATCTTCTTAGACTATTAATCAGTTTCTTCACTGCAAATAATTGCATCTCTTTAAATCAGTTAATTCAATTTTATCTGTGCCCTTTAATAAAGCAGTTTTTCACTTACGTTGAAACCTTAATGTGCCTTTTGTAGACCAGCTTCTCCTCAATCTTTTTAAAAACAAAATCAGCAACCTTGTAAATTTTAAGTGCTGACATAGAGCAGTTGAATTGGGTACATTCTGTTGCTGTGCTATATTTTGTGATGCATAATAGCAAAGACAGTAATTTGATTTTTTTCGTCTTTCATTCCGCATCAAGCAGCAGTGCAAATAAAAGGGATTATTGTTTCCTGTTTTTACAAGTACATTGAGCTCCTTTTTAGGAGCTTAAAAATAAACTGTGTATGTTAATGAGGATAAAAGGAAGTTAGTGTGAATATATTATCAATTTATTAAATTAGTTGACAAGCTTTCTATTAATAATGCAAGTAAATTTGCACTGGGGGACTGTTTGCGAACTGTTCTAAAATGGCATCCATTTACTGTGCTTCGATCTAACAAATGTTCTCCGTAATGGGTTTTTTTTTGTACATTTGTCAAATGTTTCTCAAGTTGAAAAGGGCGCTATGTGTATTCTGAATTTTGTATAGGTATCCTAGACTATTAAGAAATAACTTGTTAATGTATTTCTCAAAATAAAATTTATACAATGCCATCTGGAACTTCTTGGTTTTATTTTTATCAAAGTTCTTAAAAAGCAAATGTCAACTGTGGGTTCAGCTCATGACAAGGTATAGTGTACTGACACTTGTAAAGCTCAAACACCTCATTTAAGCAAGAGTCCTTGCTGAAATTTTTTTAAGTTCTCAGGTAATTTAAATTATAGCCTTCTCTGCTGCCAGTGTAATGTTATGTATTACTGTATGCATTTGAGCTTCAATAACTTCTTCAATGTTCAGTACAGCATAGATATGTGCTACTAACTGAATTTTCATTATTGCAGTAAGGGAGCCCAGCCATAAAACTGCAGTTTTGTCTCATGCCCATTTTAAAATGAAAACTTGGCAGTGTTGTGACTTGTTAGTTAATAAAATTTGAAAATTAAAAAAAAAAATTAAAAGAACAGATGTTGTAAAATGCTGTATTGAGTTGTAAATTAACATTTTAGTGATCAGACTTGCACCATTGTTTAAGAAATGTGTGAAGAAGTATCAGTGGAAACTGGATTTAAGAGTCAATGATTTAAATCAGGGTTCTCTCTTCATGATTTAAAACAATCTACCCTGCTTTATTCCTAAAGGTGCTATGTGTGGAAATAAGACATGCATGGTGTGATCTGTAATGGTATCTCAATTTCTTGCCTCTACGTATATACAAAACTAAGCACACTTTGTCTCTACAGCAGAGTTCAATACCTGTACAAGCAAGCTTGAATTCTTGGGTGCCAAAATCTGACTTTATTACTGTATTAGTTTCATCCCCATCTTAAGTTAATGTTTTTAGAGTAAGATAACTTTGTATACTTTGAACAGAGCCTCTGATCCACAAGTTTCTTATTTCCTAGGAAGCAGAGCTGTCCAGCTTCAACATAGCCACAGGCCACATACTGCAAGCACAGCTCTTCCCTACAGCACCATGCAAGGCTGCACTGGAGGACCATTAGTTGGACACTCTTGACTTGATTCCCTAAGAAATTAAAATGCTTGTCTTGCAACCAAGACAGTGTAATGAAACTTGTAATTGTGTAAATACTTCAAGCATTATGGTAAAATGCTCAGTTGGATAATGAACACACTAGAGGAATAAAAGGCCCCAAATGAGAAGTAAAGCAAACAACCTAATCACTAATCCTGTACTACTTTATCATCTACTACAGTATTGGGATGTCTTCTGTGCAAGTAGGACAGCTTCTGCATGACAGTAGTTAGCACCAGACCTAATGTATCTTTTTGTGGTACAGCTCATAAATAGCTTAGGTAGTTGAATAACCAGAAGCAACAGTACTCCAGTGTGGCTCACTGCTGTCTGGGATAAGCTAACCAGAAGTTACAGGCTTGATACAAGAAATATTCCATAGCTTCTGGCTAGCTTTAATCTTAGTTTGTCTTTTAAGTAAGTGCACATGGGGAAGAGGAAAGAAAACAGTATAATGGTTCATTTAACAGATTATGAAGCCATGAGTTGTCATTTTTTAATTTATCTAGGATTATTTAATTTACAAATGTGAGATGTTGAGTCATAAAAACATCTTAAAACATGGCAATTATGGCAGTCAAAGAAATATCTTTAAAAAAAGCTATGAGGAATATTCAGTTCAAAAGGTTTTATTTTAATATCACGTACATCTTTACTTCTGACTCGACTCGGATTTAGATGTGGAAGCTCTCAATGAGGAAAGTCTGCGCCTCTTTGCTATCTGCTCCTGACGTTTTTCCTTTGCCTCCTGTGAGAGAAAAAAGCAGCAATGCATGTGTGCGACTGATTAGCTCACCAGAATA